TGATGGCACGTCACGTGATCCCAGGCCCCGCCTTGGATCAGCGACCTTCCATCGCGGCTATCCCGATGGTCTTCCTTCCTGCGGCCTGCATAACAAAAGGAAGCAACTCCTTGTTACCTTGTAACAACATCATCCTGTCAGAACACTGCAATCAATATTCTATGCGCAAATTCCCGGGGGCAAACAGAAGTCCCCACAGAGAGGAAAGCCATCTTCTCTACAGCTACTTACCTCCAACCAGACTTTGTCGATAGTCGGCCGACTTTGTGGGACGATATCGAGCATCTGGGCCAACAGCTCTGCCAACCGTGGTAACGTCCCCTTTTGTTGTACCAGAATACGGACCCAGTCGCCAAGCCTGTGCTTGACATCGTCTTGCCCAAATCTCAAGTATGCAGTATATCCAGGACTGGTATTTGCCAAGAAATCGCGCATCTGTTGGCGGGTTGAACCCTTGCGGACGGTCTCTATCTCTAGAAAGACAATACCAAGAGAAAAGACATCCTTTGCTTTGTCCAGCTCTTTGGAAGTTTGCTGTACCTCTGGAGGCGCGTATTCACTCTACAGTAGCGTGAGCAGATCTTCTAGAGATAGGTTGAGAGTAGACAGACCTGACATACCTGTTCTTTATACTCGGATTCACTCATGTTGGATGCTTGATATGTAGCCAGAGGTGGTGTTTCTTTGTTCGCTGCTGCTCCGAATTCAGCAAGACATACCGAAGGAGAGTCTTTAGTCATCACGAGGACATTTTGAGCACGGATGTTATCATGCGTTATTCCTATGGAGTGAATGTGCTTCACAGCGTTGGCAAGGCACCCGAAAGATTGTCGTAATAGTTTTGCGGAGTCTGCGTAGTGATACGAAGCCACATGAGGCTCTTCTATCCACGAGAGGTATGTCTTCAGGTCCAGGTTCGCTACTGGTTTGATCAGAAGCACGCTGGTCCGCCCTCTTCGGTATGTCCCGGCTAAGCTCACCAAGTGGTTATGGTCGTCGGGTGTGTGCAAGCGGTTCAGAATCTCGGCCTCTGCGGCAGCCGCTCCCAATGCCCTATGATATTCTTTCATACTTCCGTCCTTGGGGAAGACTATCTTACGGCAAAACCACGAACGATGCCCTCTTTGCTGAACAGCGTCTAGTGCAGCCTGATTTGTGATCCTGAGATTACGACCCCATGCAAATGGAACGTCTTCGTCTGTTTCGTAAACTGTAGAAAATGTTGCGTCTTTTCGCGCAAGCTTGCTGTTGCGCGAAGCAGGTCCTCCAGATTTAGTTGTATAGTCGACAGCTGACGGCAGTCCAATAGGTACCGGAGATGTGTCAGACTTGACGGGCATGCAGCAGGCGCCACAAAAATGGATATTCTCACTGCGTGTCGAGCTCATGACCACTGTCTCTTCCCAGACTTCCGCTGCTGATGGTCTTTGATGGCGATCGTCCGCTAGCATCCTGCTGACAAGGTTCCAAAGTTGTACATCACACCTTTCGGTGAAGAGATTCTCTTTCATCCAGGTCAGCACCTGCGGAACATGATCTGCGTATTTCTTGGCCGCATCCTCAGCTTCTCTGTCATACCCAAGAGCATCCTCTGGAGCCTTGCCTTTATACACCGCGAAAATCTCGATAAAACAGCATCCTAGGGAGAATATATCTTGCTTTTCCGTTCGGCCTGATTGTGGATCCAGAACTTCTTTTGGTGCATACTATAGTGTTATCAGCATTGATTGACAGAAAGGCAGTAGGTTTGCAGCGCATACTCTCTTGCTGAACCCAGTAGGTCCGTACGTCGTTGTGTTACCCTTCTCAACAGCTTTTGAAAGACCAAAGTCCGCAAGAAGTACTCGGCCATTGTCGATCATAATGTTCTGCGGTTTGATATCTTTATGTTTCATGCCTTTCTCATGGACGTACTTTAGTGCATGGGCTAGACAGCCCATTGTCGATACCAAATACTGCACTGTGCGATAGTCTCGGCCATCTTCCAACTTGACGTTATTTCCCGCGGTTGGAATGTTGTACATGAACGATGCGAGCGTCTCCTCTGCCCAGGGCAGCATGAAAAAGCCAATGTGCTTGGGATTTTCAAAACTTCCGACAACCTCAATGATGTGCATGTGATGCATCTTTTTGACAGCTTCAATCTCTTCTGTCACTTTTTGCTTCATAAATGTCCGCTCTCTGCTGTTGTTGAGAGGGCTGAATCTCTTCATGGCTACTTCAATCGTTGAAGGTCCATGCCCATGCTGGGATAGGTTTACACGAAACACAGTCGCTGCGCCGCCCTGTGCTGTCCAATCCAGCCCATCCCAGTCTTTCCTCTCGTCCCCTCCAACAGTATCATACTCGACGTTGAAGGCATTCTCTGATCGTCCCGGCGGGCTCCACCAGCGTTGCAATTGGGTTTGAGGATTGTTGTTTGACCACAGGATACTAGGTGTAGGGACACTGGACGGAGTAGCCATCTCTCGTGCTTGCGATACGGCCGTACCGGACGACTAACCGAGAGACCTTTCTAGGATTAGGAGGTTTAGAGGACTGCAATGAATGGTGGAACCAAGTGTTAGCACCGATCAAGTAGGTAGCGGCAAGGACAGGTGTGCAAGGAGCGCACCGCCAACGAAAGTCATTGAGAGCCTCATCTGAATTCGACCCCTCTTGCAAGGCCAGTGTGCATCTAAGCGATGTCATCATGAAGTGGCTGTAAGCCACGGCGTGATAAGAACTCTTTCTCTAGAGCTTTAATTGGTCTTGACAAGATCGTTACGTCAGGTCAACCCCAGCCATGCAGCGTCCTATTGGACGCCTGCCACAACACACACTTCCATGTGTGTGTGTACATGCGAGCGAATCAAATTAATTACCAGAGCCTTGCCAGATTCAGTAAGTCGTTCATTACCGGTCAGGTACGACGCGTAGAGCTCGCATTGTTTGATCTCGTCAGCAACAAAGACCATGGAATTGTTAATCGCACCTAAGACACATTTGAGGGCATTTGGTTGTTTCGCAGAGATGTTGCTCATGAAGAGGTACACGACCTTGGAACAGTGCAGAGCGTTGGCGGCGTATTCTGTGCAGCAGTGGGGGCGGGGCAGGCCACGTTTTACCCAGCTGTGTTTCAGCCCGCTTCCTGTCCGATCTGATATGAACACGTATATACCAACGAGAGAGAATGAGTGCGCTGAGTTCAACTGCCCGGTCTTTTCAGAACCCACATCGAAACTAAAATTTGGTGTGCAGTACATGATCAGCGACATGACGCGAAAGTCGTGCGACCTGTTCGCCAACATGTAAAACCAATCACTGTTACCCCGCCTGGATGCAGACCGCTGGCCTGCAGCAGATCCAGAGCTACGTTCCTGTGTTCGTGGAAGGTTGTGCGACGACCGCAAAAGCTTGTCTCTACCTTTGGCGAACTCATTGTACGAGTTGACTCGCCGCATGCGTCGAGTGCCCACCGCAGTCAACCAAGCAACATATTGAGGTAGAACTGTTGGTAAGCGCACTACAGTAATTTCAACCCTTCAATCCTAAGTCTTGTTCCCCTAAACATTGTACACACCCACCTAAGCTAAACAGGTGCTCTGAGCAAGACGTCTACAAGGTGTGTCCAACCAGTTTCCTCTGCGGCAGCCAGTTCGCCACGCCATGCAACAATGCCATCGGGCCTGACAAGAACAGCACCTGTTGCGCCCACTCCACGATGCCGCTGCCATGTCCCGTTCACATCGCGCCAATCTCCAGACCCAATGGTGATGACCTGAACCCTCTCATCGGCTATACTCCATACATTGCCACTTTCCGCGAACAGCGTAAGCTTTTCCAGACTTAGGAGGTCTCGAATGGCCACGGTCTTACCATCACGTTCTAGCCATGCATGCGGAAGATGATGACCTGGGATCGTAGACATGTAGTACGTGTGATGTACCAGCGTCCCATCCGGGAGCTGCTGCCCACCATGAGTCGCCCCACCTTCAGAATTGATATCTGCAGAAGGATAGAACCAACCGACTTCGTAGCCGGGGGCCTTGAACTCTGTGTCCAGCTCCTGTGATGCCGCTTCGATGAGCATGCGCTTGCGTGCATAGTCTGGATGTTTCGGATCGAAAAAGGACTTTGCGGCTGCGATGTTGGCTTCTGGAGTTTGCCGTGCGTCGACGCCAATCGCGCTGTCGATGTGGCCGGCGTGTGCGCGCATGTTTTGGAGACTTGTTTGGCCGACTCGTTTTCCGACTTCTGATCGTTCAATGTAGTACGTGTCGAGTAAAGCGTTGTACTTTTGTTCATCTTCCAGTGCGAGGCACAATTTCCATATGAGGTTTTGTGCATCTTGAATTCCAGTGTTCATACCGAGCGCTGTACAGAGTCAGTAATCTGTGATGATGACGCGGGCGCGTTCTGGTCTTACCGCCCCAAGGTGGGATACGATGGGCGCTGTCACCGACAAGGAAGCAGCGACCGGTACGCCATTCCGAAGCGTACACGGCGTTCACAGTCCAATGGGTGAGACTGATGAGCTCGATGTCAAGATCTGGAATACCAATAGTCTTCTTAGCCCGATCTAGTGCTGTCTCTTCGTCGAATATCTGCGGATCGTCTTCGGTGATGCCACAAACGAACATCCATTCTTCGGCCTGCGGGTTCGTCATAGCTTCGGGCCATGGGCCGAGTTGGTAAAGATAGCCTGTTCGTGTACTGCCACCCATGGCCGGGTTGGTAAACCAAGTGATGAAATTACGAGCATCGTGGTGAAGCAGTCGGATTGGAGCACGTATGTGCGCGCTGATCATGGTCGTCAAGTTTGCCTCGCCTGCCCAGCTGATTCCAAGCTTGTCAGTAAACTGCCGGCCACCATCGGAGATGATCACGTAGCGAGCTCTGCGTCGAAAGACCTCATTCGTATCCCGGTTTCGGACAGTGACCACGGTGAAATCCTTCTGGTTGTCCACTTCCAACACTCCGTGGTATGAGCGAATGCCCGTCGAATTCAGCTCGATAGCGCGGCGCTTCAGAATGGGTTCCAGACGAATCTGAGGCAAGATGCAGTACTTTGATGGACTGTGCGTGGCGTATTCGGATGCGTATTGGCCACCTCCCCAGGCATCTCTCGAGAAAACTTCCCTGCCCTCGTCGCCGAGAGACGTGTACCATGCTGTTCGTCCCGCGATCTCGGCTGGCGTGGCTTGAGCATATACCTCCTCTTCCACTCCCATTACGCGAAATACTTCCGTCGTTCGTTGGTTGATGCCACATGCCTTGGGATGTATCGATGTTGAAGCGTGCCTCTCGTATAATGTGTGTGCGATTCCTCGGATGGAGAGTAAGATGGAACATGTTAAACCAACGGGCCCGCCGCCGACAATAATGACTGGCTCGACATTTTCTTGTTCATTCTGCGTCATTGTATTCGTGCGATGGTGGGTTTGCTACCTCTGGTGGATGCAAGGATAAAAAAATGATAGGAGGCTTGAAAGTACTACGGGTAGGGCCGCGCAAGGAAACTCTTAGCCAGTAATGAGAGATTTGTATCGTGTCTAGACAAATCGATACCCTCATAAGCAAGTCCTCTCTCTGGTATATGCACTGCGGGGTCGCCTTGGCTTACTCCGCCTTGTGTGGGCCAGCCCTGGACTCGTTTCAAATGCTGAATGCTGCACTCTTCCAAACAGTACCTAGGTAGGATATACTCCCCGAAAAGAACCCGTTGCTCCATATTCTTGGCGTATCTCGTGTACGACAGTAGACGGTACTGAATCAACCTTCCGACGAAGTAGAGTCTGGACTCGCGGCTTCCCCGCACTAGCCCGATCGAAAGGGATTACCCCACAATCGCAAGCGCTCTCCAGGCTGTCAATTCGTCACTCTGTAACATTGTTGAAGTGGATACATCGTTATCACTATGCAAAGATGCCGGATTTACTGGGATGGGAGGTAGCGCAGAAGTAGCAGGCAGTTACTCGTTAGGCATTGGTTTTAAACGTGCAGACTCCACCGGACGTGGACAGCTCATTCTCTGGCGGCGGGTCGACGACTCAATTTTGCATAGTATCATGACGCTAGCACGGGGTATAACGAACATATTAATGGAGAAACATGAAAGAAGCTCGCGCGCGTAGTAGAACTGCGACGTAATCAACCTTTTCTTGCAGCGGCATCCATATGGCCATGCTTGTAAAACGTCTTCCCCTCGTAACCGTCTTCGCTTGCAGCCTTCTCAATACGGTCGTAGACACTCTGCTCCAAAGAAACTTGGTCTTTATCCAGGAACAGTTTTGCAAGTCCTACCAAGCGGTGCTCTTGGGATGATGACGATATGACGATACCATGTAGGCGGTCGTATGCCCAAGCAAGAAGTAGTTCCGTTTCCGTAAGATGAGTCTCGTTCGATAATAGTCTTAATTCTTTTAGTAATGCTGGAGCTCCATCATGTGGCAGCTTGCCGGATAGAATAGACAAGAAGCCGTAGTCTACGCTTGTGATCAGCGATGGCATGTAACTTGATCGTCACTGGGCCCAACTCACTCATATGAACTATGCCATGTTTCATCTCGTAGGAACTAAGATCCCGTAGTTGAGGATCGGAGAGTAAGAACGGGTTCATCTCGTACTCATTGATCTGCGGCTTGTACTTGATATCAGGAGCATCCATGAGATCTTCGTAGTCCGCAAGTGTCCTGTCTCGCGTGTTATCGAACGCTTTGTCTAACACTCTGCTACGAATTCACCTACCAATTAGACAAGCCGATGATTCTCGCCATCTTCTGATCTTTGAGTTCTTCGAGAACTCTCCACGCTTCTCGGTTGGTCAAATTTCCTGGATGGCCCCTTGGCGGAAAATGAAGTTGCAACAGATCTACATAGCCGTCTAGTCCGAAGCGCTCAATCTCCTTCTTGGTACTCTCCACCATATTCTCCTTGCCTCTACATCCAAGCGCAGCATAGGTGTTGAGTTTTAAACTGAAGAACAAGTCCTTACGGGCGATCCCGGACGCCTTGATGCTTTCTGCCGCGGACTCGTTGTTGGTGTAAATGTCGCCGGTGTTGATATGTCGGAAGCCCGCTTTAAGCGCCTGCGATACTTCTTTACTACTGTCAGTAGGGAGGGGGTAAGCATGGTTGGGAGCCCATTGCATCAAAGATCCTAGTCCGAAAGCGAACCGCGGAACTGCAATGTTATCAACCAGTATCGTTGTCTTCCTTGGTGCACCCATTGTGGTACAAGTTCGTTGTAAGTGCTTTGGAGGTCTACCTGGCCTTTTTTTTGGGGGTAACAGGGACCTTCAAAACGTACTGCACCTGTCTAAGGGTGAACCCTAGGTGGTCGGAGATCCACTTCTGTGTGTGGCCGGCTTTATATAGTGTGTGCACCATAAGTCTCTGGTCTCTGTTTAGTTGCTTCCTGTGCTTCGGGGTACTGGGTTCGTCCATATTGGCTGTGAGTGGAGAGAAAGTGCCCATACAACACCTAAGGTGGCTTGCAGATCACTAAGATAGAAGAGGTTTGGTTCTATCCGAGGTGACGCCGAACTTAGCGTCCCCACATACGAAACTTATGCCCGATACCACGGTAAAGGAAGACGTTGAAACTTGCAGTTCCGCGCGACAAGATTGCAGCCAATGGCAGACCTATGCTGGTCTCGAAGCCCTCGAATTGCCGACAGATCAAGCGATTGACGGGGCAAAGGACGCGTAATCCGTCAAGTCGGAGTTCCCCACCGCAACTACAACGCGTACGTGACTCTCACAATCGCCCCCACAAAGACCATTCCCATCTGTACTGCCTGACACCATAGCTTACTACTGTACGAGAACTTCGTACTGATCAAGCCATTCCTGGATAGCGTCGGCGCGCTCGTGTCTCACGAGGTCTCTGCCTAGGCACCTTCATACTCCATTGCCAGCGCGCATACATCGACTGCAGAGCGCCAGTCTTTCATCAAAACATGCTGGGGGTGTGCCTAAAGATATTACCGCTTTACTTGGCGACTGAGTACTATTGGTTCTTGATTGTTTGAGTAAATGACTGTCAACCCTCCCGCAAACTCACGAACAGTTGCGATCCATAGTAGGGGCCTGTGTGCAACTTATGGCGCCCGAAATTGAAGTTGACAAGCTTCTCTTCCAAGCCTTCAAACTCAGGCAAGATGGGAAGATGGCCTTTGATTTCTAGACTCATCGACTCCCCAGCGTCGAACACCATGCCCCCAGGCCAAAGACTGATCTCGAGCTCCACAATCTCACCAGGAAGTAACGGCTGCTTTGAAGTATGAGGATGATATACATAGGCGGGACCCATGAGCTTTCGGTATTCTTCTTGGCTGATGCCCTCGATAGTTTCTTCGGTCACCTCCCGATGTGACGCACGAAGTCGCCCGTTGGGACCGATATAGCGCCTGTAAAGAGGCTCTCTTAGCTTTGCAAGAAAAACTACCATACAGAGTACTCACCAGATGTTTTCTCGGGGTATCTGCTCCACCTTAGTTCCTTCGGGGAGATCTTCCATAGGAATGTTCTGATGCCAAAGGGCTTGACCATCATGATCCAGTTTGCGTATGACGATGTATACATCCTGCCAAAATCAGTGTGAGGAACTGGTTAGGGGTTCTGGAACTTACCATATCGTTATGATCATCTTTAGACATATATAGAGTAGCTTTGGAGATGCCGCAGAGTTCAGTATACCGATCGAATTTGTAACTGAAGGAGAGACCGTCATCGGTCTGAGACTCCGCATGATACTCAGCAGAGCTCGAGGCGTTCGGTTTTGACTTGCTCAGAGTCCTGGTCTTTGCGTCCAGGAAGAATGTGTGATAATGGAAGTCCACCGGTGGGTACTCTGATGCCGGACGATTGATCACGGAGGGACGGTTGTAACCGAGCATCGACTGGCGAACTTTGGGTGTCTTCTCCCACCCGTTGTCAAGTCCATACATATATTTGTCCAGGAACCTTTGTAGATCATCGATATTTTCCTCTTGATAGATGTCATGCCATTCTTGTGTGGCAGTCCATCGTAACCTAGTCCCTCCTATGTCAACATGACAAAACTTTGAAGGGTGTTGGAGCATACCATTTCTCTTTCGAGCGACAAAGCTGAAACCCACGAACTGATCCCTCTGTATGTAGACCCGTAGAATAGCTGGCTGTGGCATACATAGGTACTGATATGTTCCAGAGCTTTGGTTTCTTGTCTTCCCAGTAATCATTCCAGAGTCCATATCTGTCGATCATTGCGCCTACATCTTCTCGCTCATTTGGACCTACAGAAGGGTGTGTCAGCAGAGAAGACCAAAACACATCGGACAGGGAACTGACCGCAAGCCCATGCCATTAGGACGTCCCAGAAAGCATGGTCGGGAATACCACCACGGCAGATAGACTCTCTGTAGTAGTCTCCTAAGCCTTCCCAAGGAGCCATACAACAAAGGTGTGGAGGTTTCTCAGCAGCAATGAACCATTGCGTCGTACTGAGCCATGAGTTGCCAGCCATGGCCACTTTTGTGTTGCACCAAGTCTGCTGCGCGATCCACTCAATGCTGTCGTAACCGTCGCGGCCTTCTTGAGTGCCGTAGACATGAAAGTCGCCACCTGACTTGAAACTGCCTCTCGCATCGATATTGACTATCGCATAGCCTCGAGGAATCCATTCAGCCGGATCAGGTGCTTCCCACTTCTCGAGGCCGCTTGTTCGGTTGCGAGGTATACCTACTCTCCAAGGAAACATGTCAAGCTGCTGCATACCAGATCCAGTCTTTCCATACGGACTCCATGGCATGATCGCGGGAACAGGTTGTCGATCTGACGACAAAGGACGGAACACATCGGCCAGAAGCTCGACACCGTCACGAAGAGGGATACGAACATCTTTCTCCCAAATCATGTCTTCGGACAATGGCCGACGACCTTCATCCTTGGTCCATCCCTTCGGGAGAATTCGCCTTTCTGCCTCACCGTACTCCACCCACGTGTTCTTAGGCTCATGGTCTAATGATGTAAAAAGTACCGGAACAGAAAAACGTCCTGAGCGTTCTGACATTGCTTGATGCGAATGCGGTGATGGATCGATAGAGTTATTGTCTTTGGAGTTGGGCGTATCTCAGATGCTGTGCTGGGCATTGATTGTTGCCAAAGACCTCACTTTAAACGATCTGATAGAGGACAAATACTATTAACAGTCAAGAAAGGAAGATTTATTCGGGGTCGTAAAGCATAC